AGGAATCTGGAAAAATGACTCAAGACAATAGTAAAATATTTGTCGACAGTTGACAACAAACTGATTAATAGACTAACCGTTGCAGCTCTATTGTTGGGCTAGGTTCAACAATCTTGCCAGAGTCTTCTGCGCTGGCCTCCCCGCCATGTTTACAGACTTGCTTCATTCATATTAATAAGGAGGGCTGTAGTTTACTCGGTCTGAACGCAGCCATAAAATTTGACTGCCAATTGACTTGATCTGAAACTTCAAAGCAAAAACATTCAGTTTGAACTTGTAAAATCCCAGAACTATAAAACATTAAGCATCAGGCAGGTGTTGCCAAATGCAGTTATAACAGTCACCATTCGGAGAAATGAAAGACTTTCTCAGAAAGACTCAGGAAGTCCTCCTTGAGGACTTGAGACTTGTTCTGACACATATTTAATTTGAACTTGCTGCAAAAGATAGACTTGACAACAGTTCTGCTGTTGTTTGGCAGAGGAGTAGCTTATTCTGTCATTTTAATAAAAGGTTCTATAGATGTTTTGGTATGTTTCCCCCACAAAATTGTGTCAATATTTGAATTTATTGTGCATGCTGTGTGGGTCCCAGCTGACTAGAGCAACTCGAACAAGCAGAATGTTTCAGAGCCACTTTTAAAGGCCCACAGGGAAGTGAGTGTTTGGTGCTGAAAAGTTAGGATTTTCAGCGAGTGAGGTTTGCAGCAAGGACCCAAAGGAATTGGGCTGCAGTTTCTTTTACACAAGTGAGACAAGGTTAATATCTTCGCCTCTTCCTCTCTATCTCTGCTCCTTAGAGACTTGTAGGTAATGACAGAAACATGCAGGATACTGTATGGGAGTGTGTGGGAGTGTGTGTGTGTATTTTTTTACGAGCTGGGGGGAGGACTACTGCTGACTCAGCTGGGGAGAAGGACTGTCCTGTCACGCTGTGCCCTTGTCAAGCCTTCTGTTTCCCATCCCTGACTCGCTATGAAGTCATCCACCTAAAACAGAAACTGAAATGTATTTTCATTATTGATTCATTTTGTTTAGTCTAAAAAAAATGCCAGAATCTGACCGTCGGTCCAAATCTCAAAGGTATTCAATTTACAATGATAGAAAACAGAGAAAAGCAGCAAATCCTCATATTTGAGAAGCAGGGACAAGCTGATGTTTATGCTAGGAGCATGGTTATAGGGATGGCGATGTCTATAAGTCAGTTGGTCGGTCTACCACATTGGTCAAGATGAAATATTTCAACAACTATAAGGTGAATGTCTATGACATTAAGTACGGACAATCGTGTCCCCATCAGGATGAATTCAACCCCCAAAGATAGCCAGTGTACGACCTCAGTAGGTAAAGAAGAGCTGCAAATTGGAAGAGCTGTTTGGCTGTTTGTTTTATAAAACCAATACATTTTTATTTGACCAACTAATCAGCTCCAATCTCAACATTTACTTTAGCTTTGGGCATTTTATCCGATGTAGTGTCTCATAATGGACGCCTCGCGACGTCCTGACACAAGGACGAGCCTGTGAGTCATTTTTTTGCCTTCCTTGACCAAATTCCACAACGTGTTCCAAGCGTTGACCAATAAGAGCTCAGAGCGCTCTTCAACTGTAAACACAGCGGCGCGAAACAGGAATGATGCTGTCGGTGCTACAAGGTGGAAGTGTGAAACAGTATCGTACACACAGCTTTAGACGCCATTGTTTACATTCTTGTTCCTGGAAGTCACCTCCTTTACCGATTACACTAGCGCATTGATAAAAGCGGCAAGATACGATTGGTTGGTTGGGGACCAATGTGACCATCTTAACAGACGAAAACATTGTGTCGTCTGAATCCGGCAATAAAAACATTTGATTTCTGACGTTGTCGTAAAGCATGTCGTAAGAAATGATCAATATTATCTGCTATTCATTTTCTGTAGGTTGACTAATCTACATTTCTCCCTCCAATCTCTGCACCCTGTATACATCCACACACACACACACACACACACACACACACACACACACACACACACACAGACTGTGGTTCTCACTCTGAACTCACGCTGTTAGCAAGCCAATTGTCTCTGCACTGTGTTCTCATGCCCCAGGCAAGGTTAGCAAGGGAGCAGCAGACAACAGAAAGTGTGTGTGGTGCTGTCAGCCATTTGTCATCAAAGATTACTTCGGCCATTAGATCAGCTGCTTTTTGTTGCCCTCCCTTTGTTTTTAGCTTTCCTTTCTTTCCATTATAGTTTTTGTCTTCCACAGCCTCTGCAACTGTTTTCAGCTTTCAGATGTAAAGACAGTGGAGAAGCTGCTTTGGTGAAAGGAGGAGGAAGGAGGAGGCAGAGGAAGGGGGTACGGAGGGTGGGTAGTGGTGGGGGATGGTGGCTTTACAAAGGGTGAGGGAGCCACTTCAGCCCTGATGAGCAAGAGGGAAGAGTGGGCAGGAGGGGGGTGAGGGAGGATCAGCCCACATGTCGGGGGGGGCAGTGAGATAATCAGCACAAGGAGAACCATTCTCCCTCTCAGCTGGAACAAAAGGTCCCTGCCAGTGTGTGTGTATGTGTGTGTGTATGTGTATGTGTATGTGTGTGTGTGTGTGTGTGTGTGTGTGTGTGTGTGTGTGTGTGTGTGTGTTGATGTCCCAGTAGAGTCAGCAGGATCAGAAACCTCCCCAGAGAGTTGGGGAGTGGTTTTTGTTTTGCGAGGTAGGTTTTAGGGATGCATTACCTCTGCCAAGTGCAGTTGATTACACTAGTCTGTGTGTGTGTGTGTGTGTGTGTGTGTGTGTGTGTGTGTGTGTGTGGCTCAGTCTGATCAATGCCTATTGGCTGCTGTGAGCAGGGGTACCACAGAGACACAGTTGTTTTTCAGTACAGACAGACAGGGAGCTAACAGTGGTGGAGAGTAACTGAATACAGTACATGTAGACAAACACTTAGAGGTCCAGTGTGTAACATTCAGGAGGATCTATTGGCAGAAATGGAATATAATATTCACAGGTATGTTTTCATTAGTGTATCATCACCTGAATATAGGATCCGCCATGTTTCTACAGTAGCCCAGAACAGACAAACCAATCACTGCCTGGGTATAGCAGTGCTGTCATTTCAAATGAAAGGCAATTTGTTTGAATGAATTCACATAAAGTATCTTTTAACACAAAAAAACACGTAAAAACTATACTGTAGGATCAGACATTTGCTTTTACCACAGCAATGGGCCACATATCTCGCATATCCTTGGATATAAATCTTGCTCTCCTATCAGTGATGGTATTTTTAAGAGCTTCTGGCAAGGGGCCAGATGCTCCGCCCGTCTGTGGTGCCTCTGCTCCGTAGCATTAAAAAGGTTAGACAGCTGTTTGTACAAAGTGGACAGGATCTTCTACACATTGGACCTTTAAATGCAATAAGGTGTATACAGTGGTGGAAGATTCAGATATTTTACTAAAGTACAAATACCAATGTGAAAATACTCCACTACAAGTCCTGCATTCAAAACCTTACTTAAGTAAAAGTATGTATCATTGCACTCACTGTGCAGTAAAATGGTCCCGGTCAGTGTTTATTATGATATTTTATGGGTTTGACCCTTTTACTTTTAGACATTTGATCCACTGTTTATACAAAAATATTGATTTGTGAAGCTTTAAAGAGTAATTATGGGTTCATTACAACTGGGAATTTCAAGGGAAAGCAAAGCTAAACTGTGAAATTATTACTCAAACATCCATCAGAGTTAACTGACCGACTTCCTAGGTCAGCTATGTGCTACCTACCTACCGACATTTCGGGTAATCTGGCGCTCACAACCCGTCTGATTGTCTGACCACTCGTGTTTCTCGCCTCGTCGTATTGTAACAAACCAGAATTCTCCTTTTAGGTAAAGATTTGAGACTTTTTTCACTCTGTTGTATTACGTCTTTTACTTTAGTAGATGTTCTAAATACGTGTTACATCAATGGCTGACAGACAGACAGAATCTGTTTGTCTCCTTTGGTGCATGAAGACAGGGCGGACAGAGAGCAGCAGACAGGCAGGTTAAGGATTACGGGTCAGTGTAATTTCCTAGTTCCTACAGGGAGGACTTCTGGAGACATTAACTCTAAACCTGTCCGTCTGGGGCTGAAGAGAAGAGAGATGAAGGGATTTCCAGTAATTCCTTTATTTTCTCTTTCCCAGCCTCCCTGTCTTGTTCTAACTGAATGATTTTCTTGTCCTTTCTCTTATCTGAAAATCTTTTCTTCTTTCTTTCTCTCCACCTTGTTTCTCTGCCTTCTTCTTGCTAGTCTTTATTATCATTCCTCTGGTGATTTCACTGCTGAATAGAGGGACTTTTCCGTGTCCTTTGGGGGGGTGGGGGGTAAAGTAATTTGTATTCTATCCCTCTCTCTCCTCCCGTTCCCTTTCCTCCCCCTCTTTTCTCTTCTTCTTCACAATAAGAAGTGACGGTACATGAGGCCAGGTTAGTGCGCCTCCCTTCCTCCTCACCCACCCACAATGGTCACCTTCAAAAAGACCTTGCCATATGGGCCAGACCATCTGGACTGTACCATGTTACAGGCAGCAGGGGAGGGGATGGGAGCCCAGTCGGGGGGGAAATTAAGTATGGTTACAGTGAAACTCTCACGGAGCAACTGAACCGCCTCAAAAGATTTGGTGTGTAGTCCATCCTAAGTTTATAAAGAGGTTTGGTGTTACACTAGTGCGTTCTCAGGGGGAGGATCAGTAATAGGAGGCCTCAATAATTCAGAGAGGAAATTCAATACTGGCTCCACCATTAAACAAACACACACATCACACTCTTCCAGGCCATTAAGGCTGTTGCTTAGTTTATGATGGCAATCAAATCCACACATACAGCAATAAACATCATTTATATATATATATATATCTATGTATATACACATATATATGAAAGTCTCCATTGGTGCACCAACGACACATAAATCTATATTTTATGTGAAACTAAATGTTCCTCTTTCTCTCCTCTCTCTGCCTCTTTATTTTAGGGATCGAGCTTTGTTTGCCAGCCTGGCGTTTCTCCATGACCATGGTGGCCAGTTTTCTGATGGTGGGCGGGCAGCTACTGATGCCAGGGGTAGCCGCTCTGTGCCGTAATTGGCCAGACCGGGATGACTGGCAGGTCCTGCAGATCGTAATAATCAGCCCTTTCGTTCTGATGCTGCCCTATGTCTGGTGAGTCCCACCCTCTGAGGAATTCCACAGCGGGAGGGGGGGCAGATTCTTCTTGCACTGAGCCAGGCGATGGCTTGTACAGTACACACTGCACTACACAGTTCTGAGCACACTCTGCCTTTACTAACAAACAATACTCTCTTTCTCCACTCGTTTGTCTTCTTCCCCCCTTCTGTTTCTTCTTCTTGCTTTCACAACATATTCTGTTCTCGTCTTTCTTTGTCTGCTCCTTCCATGTCCTTCCCATTTCTCCCTTTCTCTCCCTCTGCAGGATTTTTCCCGAGTCGCTGCGCTGGTTGCTGGCCACCCAGCACTACAGGCGGTCCAAAGCCATGATGCTGCGCATCGCCAAGAAGAACCAGGTTGACATGACAACCGAGCCGAGTGGAGTTCTTTCAGGTGAGGAAGATTTCAGGAGGGACATTAAAGAAGATGATTGATCCATTTAGCTGAACATTTACACTTTATTTTGCTTTATTCATTTCATTATTTTAGTACGTCATCTAAACGTATGTTGCAGCTGCTTCTTGGTGTGTGATGAAATGGACATGCAACAAACACAAAGACACTGACTCACATACAAAGTGTCTGAGATCTCCTTTTCATGTATGCAAACATGTTGAAGTTGTATTTCTTGACTGCTCACATGATGAAATGCAACTGCAATCAGACAAACAGATACATGCTTCTTTTGAGCTTTGGTGATTTCTCACTGGAAGATCAATAAAGTCCCGAGCAATTAGTTTAATATAAACTCCGTTTGTGGTTCATTATTACAGAAGATAGTGGATCACAGTTTCCTAGAACCCAATGTCACGCCTTTAAATTGCTTTTGTTCAATTAAACAGAACAAAACCAAAATATATTAAATCTACAACAAAACAATGGTGTAAACTATCACATTTGAGAAGCTCAAACTAGTGAATTTTAATAAATGAACAAAAAAGTGAATTTATTAAATTGTCTGTGACATTGTGGAGCTTTCTTTCACTTTCACTTTTATTTCTCTCCTGTCTGCCACCAACAGCTCTTTCTACTGCCTTAGTGATTGACTCATTGTTTCTGCTTCTCCCAGTGGCCAAGCAGACAGATAGATGATAAGAGTGGGCAAAGGGATGTGCTATATCTACCCACAGGCCCCACAGCACATTAACTTGTCTGTGCTAAAGGTCCCTTTGCGGCCGGTCTCTCATTACTTTCTGAAAGGAAAGGTCTCAAGGTGTGCGTTTCATGTTTCCTACCAGAACTGGAGCAGGAGCTGCACAAGAAACCCCAGAGGACCTGCATTGTGAAGATGATGAGCACGAGGAACCTGTGGAAAAACATTGTGGTGCTGTGTGTCAACTCGTAAGTGTGTCGCGTTCGTGGCTAGGCTTGTACAGTTTTTTTTTCTAATCAAAGCCAACATCCGTTGTGTTGAGAGAGCATGAATTACACATGAGCTCGTCCCCCAGAGAGAAACGACGGCATGTATGTGGGTGTAAAGCTCGCACGCCCCGTGGCAGATTCACGTCTCAGGTGCCACCTCCCCTGTCCGCTTTCTTATTGTGTGTTTGTGTGTCGTTCGTACAGACTGACGGGTTACGGGATCCACCACTGCTTCGCCCGCAGTATGATGGACCCGGAGGCGCAGCCCACTGCTTTGTGCCATGCGGACTACTACACTATGGCTGGCATCGCCGTGGCAACCTGCCTGGCGCTTTGCCCCGCGGTCGGGTTGATGGGTCGACGTGGAGGGCTGCTCACCTTCATGATCATAACAGCCCTGGCCTCGCTGCTACAGCTGGGTTTACTCAACTGTGAGTAATCACACACAGAGAAATATACAGAAGTGTCACTAGTTGACCTTTTGCCCTGTAACCATAGTTACGATTACTAATTGGACCGACTGTATGCATATTTTACCAGCTGGGGCTAACTAGCTAAATAACTTTGATTATGTAGTTAAAGGTCCAGTGTGTAACATTTACATGGATCTATTGGCTCAAATGGAATATAATATTCATTGGTAGGTTTCCAGCTGTCTTTATCTACAGCGAGGTCTTCTTCTATGGCGGGTCCGCCACGTTGAACCACCATGTTTCTACAGAAGCTCAAAACTGACAAACCAAACACTGGCTGTAACGTTAGATGGGGCCTTTCACGTTTTTCACGAGTTTTGTGGCCACCGTAGTTACCGCATTACTATAGAAAAAAAACCCACTTGAGTAAAGACACACAAAGATGTATCTCTCTTTTACAAGAGAAATGTTTCAAGCACGAGCAGTAACCAATGAATTTAGTATATAAATGCTATGTCAGCATAAACGCTGATAAAAAGTTAATTACAGCATCATTACAACCGGCTCTCAGTGAATATGTCAGTCCTGAATGATGCTTTTTATAATATAACCTGACAAATGAATACACTTACCTAATGTTATGCTATCCCTTGACCTTGGAAGTAATGCTATTTTATAAATGTAAGTAGGTTGACAGCCAGGCATGCAAACATTAGCTTTTTAGCTTAGTGCTGGAAAACTTCATACCTTACACCTTTCTGCTCTTGTATTTTTTGTTTTAGAAAGGATGGGCAGAAAACTCAAAACTGTTTGCATGGTGGATTTTGCCTCATACGCTTCGCTTAATCTTGATGGATTGTTAAATTGTAATTGGGCAATTTTTGTTCTCAGCAAAAGTCAAAGCTGGAAAAATCAGTTCAGAAAGTTATGAAAAAACTGACTTGGACACATATTGCAAAACAAAGTTGAAATTCAACTAGGGAAACTAAGATGTACTTGCACATTTTGCACGCCATCCCTGTGTCATTAAAACAGTGCAGACTGCAGTTCAACTCTCTCAGTCTAATAGCCTCCCCTCATTGTCCCTGTTTTGACCTACATATGCAGTACAGAAGTCATTATTTCAGGCCTCAGTGGTAAACTGTTCGCCCGAAGGCTTTTTTTTTAAATTCCACTTGTTTTGAGTCAGCACTGTGCTGCCCTTTGTGCTTACTAATGACATACTCTTCCTCTTCTTCCTCTCCTCTACTCCCCAACTGCTTGTTAATGGAATCCAGTGATTGGGAAGTACAGCCTTCGCCATGACACAGGTACGGCTACAGTTTGGTGATTTGTGATTTAAAATGATGCACTGAAATAGTCAATAATTCTGTCGAGCTGAGGGTTAGGCTATGATACTGTTTCCTGTAGTCTGATTGTAAGGTTCCTGTGCTTTATGTCAAATGAGCTGTTGTTTGTGTTTGTGGCATACTCATGTTTTCTTGTCCTCCTCTGGACAGTTCTTCGAGACTCCCTGAACAGGAGATTCTCGGTGGCCTTCTCCATCATCGGCATGTTCTCCTCTCACGCAGTCAGCACACTCAGCATATTCTTCTGTGCTGAAATCACTCCAACTGTCATCAGGTGAGCCTGGATGGTCATAAACGCATAATACAACACGTAGGGGAGCCGTATTACTTTCCATTGCACCTATACATACAGTGGCTGATGAAGCATAGAGGACAAGCTCTAGGCTGTGTCCGAAATCACTTCCTTTATGTTACCTATGGTGAACTCTATTTACAGCACTATGTGCCATTTTATGTGTCCACATTCTAAGTATAAAACTTGTGCACTATGTAGTTTCCTTAAAATTGAAAAGTGTGATTTATTATTAAAGTAAAGTGAGTCATTAAGTAGGTTTGAGTATGTAGCACATTAAACTTACACACAGAGTTTCCACAGCAGGCAGAAAAATGTGTGTTATTCTTAATTTATTGAGATAAAAATGTTTTCCGCCACTCGGCCTTCATCAGTGTCACAACTATGCAGTACAAGATGCCCCTTAAATAGCAAAAACACAGGTGATGCCCCTTTAGATGAGTCCCAAACTGTCTACAGTACAGTATACAGTGTATTTTTCCTTGTTAGTACAAAATGTTAAAGGACATTGATTTCTTGTGTACTAACTGCAGAAAGAGCACAGTATACTTTAACATTATATTTATATATTATATATATATTACTGTATAGTCCGTACTGTATATCATTACAACGTATAGAATCTGTGGACACAGCTCTTGTTCTCATGTTGCTTATTGGCTCCATCTTGTGGTGGAGTTTGGACTGACAGGTGAGTATGGACTCGAGGACGCTCTTAAAGGTTTCAGGATGCTTCAAACGAACTAGTTTGTCTGAAAGGAAACGTGTTTATACCCGTTGTGTGGCCACGCTTGAAGGCGGGGCTGAAAAGTCTGCCGTCGTAGAGAAGGGTGAATTGTATAAACGGTGGTAAAGGACACTTTCAGTAGGAATGACCATTAGAAACAGTTTGGAAAAAGGGCAAAAAATACTTACAATACCTCTCTCTCTGTGCAGGGGTGGAGGGCTGGGCCTGGTTCTGGCCAGCGCCGGCTTTGGCATGCTCACCGCACCCATCATGGAGCTCCACAACCAGAAGGGCTACTTCCTGCATCACGTGATCTTCGCCTGCTGCACCCTGTTGTGCATCATCTGCCTGCTGCTGCTGCCCGAGCCGCGGGGCCAGCCCCTGCCGGAGAGCCTGGCCGACGGAGAGTCCTTCACCCGTCAGACCCTGCTCCATCCAGGAGAGCAGCACCTCCTTCTCGCCAAGAGTGACGGGGACTACTCCCGCGTCCACGACACGCCGTTACACCTCACAGCCACTGGAGGCGCTACAGTGGCGGTAGCCACCGCTCTGGCAGCGGTACCTGCCTCATACGCCCTGGCGACTGGCGGGGAGGTGATTGGAAACCGTGCCATAGCCAATGGGGTGTGAGCATCATAGCAATAGTCTACTACAGTGCTATTAAATTGCTCAAGCATTAACCTGACTGAATGGTGAACTTGTGGGAAAAAACTTTTAAGGGAAAAAAGAATCGTTGGATGAACCAGATGAACTCTTAACAGTGAGGTTTGAGATGGTGACGATAGTGCATTTGTGTAGTTTGTAGTGACTATGATTCATTCAGGAGTTGCCAAAAAAATATTGTACTGGACTAAGTTTATCTGAAGTCAGTGTGTTGAATATGTCTTCAAGTGGTGTTGGTGATTTTCTTGCACTGCTGTCCGCTCTGTCGAGAATGATTTACAGGTACAAGAAACAGACGCAGGCAAGCGAAGAGGCAAAGTAGAGCGACTAGCTTTCAATAATGTGTGCTCTGTGAGTTTTCTGTTTGTAGTTTTGACTCGTTGGGAGAGGATTTCACTGCATATAATTCTTTATAAGTTATTTTGCACTAAATGTCAGAGACACAATCAAGTGTTTGTGATTTTATGCCAACACATTGGAGATCCAGGGATTGGCTAAACCACTACCACTCTTTGCATGAAAGGGCACAAATACTTTTACATGTTTATTCTTCTTATTTGTGGTCCCTCTACTAGAAGTCCAATGTGGCACTTTATCCTTAGAGGTGAGGTCAGTGTAGACACTGATTTTTAAAGAATGCATTACTGCTGTTGGTGTGGGTGTATGATGGTTGTCTGACGTGACGAACAGCCGGAGACCTTTGGCAGACTGTACGTGTAGCCGACGGAGACTGTGGGTGAGACTGAACAAATCTGAGAGTTGAACGGACATTCGAGTGTACTTCTGTATGTCTTATGACGCATCTCAGCATTTAAATGGCTTTATCGTGATGGCTCTGTTCTTTTAACAAAAACAGAGGATGTAATTTAAGAAAACCAGTATTTATTTTGTCATGCTGCCAAGGGCAATTTGTTGCTTGAAATACCTCCTTAATTAGCAAATATTTCCACTCCAACTCTCACTCCTTGTTCTCTGTACCGTGGTAATGTTGTAATCCTGCTCTTAGGATGTGTAACTTCTAGCCAGAAAGCACAATATTTTACAGTTTTTTGAAATAAACGTTTGTGAAGATTAGAATAGAGCAGAGTCGTCTGCATAGACCTGGCATAGTCGTGATTAGTGTACATTTATACACTTTACTATGTAAGTATCCCTTAGGACTGCATAACAAACGTAAGGTATGTATACATGTGCCATTCATTCATAATGTATCCACCTTACTTTTATAGCATATAAAGCACAGTGAATAGATAAACCATCCCATAAACCATTTTTATGTCCAAATGTACCTGAATCCACAGATCCAAACATCCTCCATTTTTTAAACCATATTTAGTACACAGCACGTATTTTGAACACCCTGTATGGTTTTGCTAGTGTGTATGTTTTCAACAGTTAAACACTCTGAGAGAGAGAGAGAGAAAAAAAAAAAAAAGAACTCAACCACTAATGCTGTTTTCTAAGTGTTATTTTTTTAATATGATGCATTTGTACAAAAAGCCATAGGCCTACATGTTTTGATAATAAACCACTTAATTTATTATGTCAATAAAAGAACACTTGATGTGACCTGTCTGTGGTTATTGTGTCGGGGGGTTCGATTACAGTGTCGGAAAGCAGTATAAAAGTCAAAAGAGCCGGAGAAGCTACAGTCGCCCTACATGTCCTCGCTTCAATAAACGGTCAGATGTGTTCAAAAGTGTTCAGGGTGAAGCTCCAGCTCCTTTTTGATCCTGTTCTCCACCAAAAGACTGAGATTGGAGTCCGTCATTGGAACACTGTAACTCACGTATACTTGCTTTTTGGTCTTCTTTGCTGCAAGAGGGACAGAAACACAATTATTTCAGCTTTAGTTTCGATGATACACACAATGGTTTGCTATGTACGTGTACAATTACGCTCAAGTTATCAGCCTTGGACGTTAAGGAGAGCCAAATGTTTCCTCTCTGTCAATATGTTTAGGTAAATGGACCTTTACAACAATGTCTATCAGCCATTCTCCACATCTTTTTGTGTGTTTTTCTGCACATTTCAAGGAGCCGCTGGTTTTAATTACATTCAGGGCGGTATGAATATCAACTTGTGAAGACTGTGTTATCATGTGAGTGCACAGTGGAGACTTTTTAAATACTGTAAAACTTACATTAATATGAGACGGTCCTTTAATTCCTCTTGCTCAACAAAGATGGGAAACACTATCAAATTGTTCATTTACACCAGTATGAATATTAATCGTCAAAGAAATGAGGCTATTGAATAAACATATCAATTAAAGTAGCTTATTATTTGACTTCTGGCGTAAACATCTTTAATATCCACAAATCACTGATCACTACAGCTGAAAAGAGCTTTTTAATAACTTATTATAAACACATAAACTGGTGAAAAGTCATCCATCATTACCTAATCTCTGTGCCAGGGAATTTGGAGCCGTATTGGATGGGTCCCCAATGACTAATGTAGATAAAGGCATCGAATCCTGTAGAGAAACAAACAATAAATAGAAAAGCACACAAAGACATAAATTATTGGCTCTTAACATCCGAGATAATGTTTTACTTTCTTAATATCTGTCGGAAACTAAAGGAAAAAGGATTTTGCTCAAGTGGGAGTCACTGGGGACGCGTGCTTGAGGACAGCTTTGTCGTCTCTGAACCATAAAAAAAAGGACCTTAAGATTATGAGCCAGGTCCAAAATACATAACATAACAAAGCCTTCTTCTTAAAGCATCAACTCACACAGAGTGTAGTATTTAACCGAGGATGCTTCAGGTGATGGATAAAATCCTCTATCATGCAAATGTTGATTTATACAACACAATAGAAGTGTTAATAGATAGTATAATCTAACAGAAATGTCTATTTTGGGATCATATTAAAAATCCATTATTACTGAACACATACATAAAAAGATAAACCTCCTCATGTTAGATATTGTAAACATGTTAAAATGTACCTTTTCAATTAGCTGTTAATAATTATTTATCATTTAATTATTGTTGCTGTCTGCAACCTGTTGAAACCTTTTCAATGTACATTTCTATTCAAATAAACACTTGTATCCTATGTATGAAAGTTGGTTAACAAATATAAAGTTTATTATTGTGCAGTTACAAGAGATTAATCTGTATTTAATCATTTAAAACACCTGAGTTAAAAAACCTTAAAAGATCTAAGTTACATTTCCATCACAGAGAAACCACATCTCTCACACACACACACAGACACACACACACACACACACACAGACACAGACTGACACACACACACACACACACACACACACACAGACAGACACACACACACAGAGACAGACACACACACACAGACAGACAGACAGACACACACACACACACACACACAGACACACACACACACACACACACACACACACACACACACACACACACAGAGACAGACACACACACACACACACAGAGACAGACACACACACACACACACACACAGAGAGACAGACACACACACACACAGACAGACAGACACACACACACACACACACAGAGACAGCACACACACACAGACAGAGACAGACACACACACACACACACACACACACACACACACACACACAGACAGACAGACAGACACACACACAAAGACACACACAAAGACAGACACACACACACAAAGACAGAGACACACAAACACACACACACACAGAGACACACACACACACACACACACACACACACACACACACACACACACACACACACACACAGACACACACACACACACACACACACACACACACAGACACACACACACACACACACACACACACACACACACACACACACACACACACACACACACACACACGCTGCTGTTACTCACGTATCTGCTGCTCATTGACACCGCCAGGTTGGACAGGACCGGACTCGAACCGACCCACAGGAAGAACCCGCCGCTGAGCTTCATCACGTGAAAGTGCACGACCTGCTCCAGAATCCTCTCCGAGAAGTTGTGCACCGTAATGGCATCAAACACCGCCCCGGCATCAAACACCGCCCCGTTCATCTCGTTTCACTCGAGCTAAACTACCGTGAACAGAGAAGAAGCGCTTCTTCCTGGTCGGGGAGAAAAATGGCAGCCCCAAAGCAATCGATCACCGAGCTGCGCATGCGTGCGGCACCAGCACAACGGATCGTATGACGTCAGATCGTCTGTACATACTTTATGTTGTAATTCATTGTTACTGTGAATAAAGGTTTCTGACCCACATGAACCTCCAACCCAACTTTTTTTTTTTACCTTTTAAAAAAAACCAAAGTTGACCAAAGTGGTGTACAGGAGAATAAATAAGACATCATCACCATCAAGAGGCTGCAAACCAATAATCGAGTCTAAGGAGAACACACGATGCTTCTCTATTGAGAGGTTGATCATTTTCAACATTAGTAAATCCCTTTAGCCCCGTCCCAATCAACCAGACTGTGTCTGGGACCGAATAAAAGCAACCTAATTCCAAAAACACAAACATTTTCTATTGATTTTATTGCAAAAGTACATTATGTTCACTTTTCCATCAAGAGTTGGTGCAACACATTGGACAGTTTTATGACTTTATGATGAAAACTAGCTGTCTGATGATCGCCCCGCCTACCTAAGTGATGTCACACCAGTGAGTGAAATTTGGATTATGTGGTAGTTTTTATTTCAATAAATCAATATGTAGAGTAATTTAGGAAGCACTTTTTAATTAGGTACCCAGTCCCTTAATAAAGGGCATTTACAGTAATTTATTATTTGTATTGCAATGTAATCAATGCTATAATAAATAATCTTAAATGTGTAATCATTAACATTAATCATGTAACGTTGGTAACTAAAGTAAGTAACACATGTTACTGAGTTACATAATATGGGAACTAAGTCATCCATTTGCTTCATTAAAAAATTTATGATTTTTTTTTTTATGTAAGTACAGTATGTAACAATTGAACATAATGAAAAGAGAATAATAAAAATAATCAACAAAAATAAGTCTCTTAGTGTATTTTTACTGTTATTTTTTACTGTTATTCGCTCAGTCTTCCAGAAAATCTTCCACCAGTTTGTTGAATTCATCAGCATACCTCAGGTGGAGATTGTGTTTACCCTCCGGCATCACATGTAATCTAGATATGGGACCAAAAAGGGGTAAACACGTGTCATTTCTTGAAGTTGAGGTGGTTTTAATATTGTTTTTAGTGTGTGTGTGTGTGTGTGTGTGTGTGGACTCACCGTGATCCTGTGATGTTTTTGAGGAGGTACTGTGGGTGTAAGCTGGGCACCATGGGGTCTTTTTCTCCATGGATGATGAAGGTTGGACAGCTGATTAAGGGCAGAAGTTCCATGCAGATACTCCCTGACCAGAGGACATTTTGGCTTTACTCTCTTCAGCTTAACATAATTAATGATTTCCAATATGTTCCTTATGTAGTTATTTTATTTTACTACCCATATGTACACTGAAAGCTCACAGTATTTACACATTATCAATACTTTACAAACATCAATATAAGAAGAATATTTCCATCAGTACTGCACAACATTTCCCCTCCATCTCTCGATGTCCTGATGCTTTGAACTCAGTACCTTCTGGTCTCTTTGCAAACTGTGCGATCCCGTCCACCCAGGCCTCCCAGGTTTTAGCAAACACTTCTGCTCCATACACCTCCTCCATGGGCTGCCTCATCCTCGCACTCCACTTGGAGACATCACGGACCGCTGTGTGTTCCCGCAGAAACCCATGCACACACACACACACAGGACACACAGTTCACACCATACACACACACACACACACACACTTTAGCAGTTTAGGACTATACTGGCAGCTACCCAAGACAATGAGAAGTAGAGTACCATCGTAAAGCTCGAGGTCGTGCTGGGAGACGAAGGCATTGGATCCCCATACAACCATCTTGTTGATCACGTCGGGGTTCTTCGCTGCTGCAATCAGAGCTGTGATTCCTCCGTCACTCCACCCCAGCAGAGAGAACTTGCCAAAGCCCAAAGCCTGCCAATAAAAGAAATAAATACGTACACACCACTAACAGAGTGTCTTTTGTCTCAAATGTACTAAATAACGAACATAAAGACATCACAGAAGTAGGTGATCAAAGCACTTCTTAGTAAGCTATGTTCATTAGATTGGTAGTAACTCTCCGCTGATCAATAGACTGACCGGACCTTCATCAGATCCACTGCGTCCTTTGCATCCCTCTCAAAGAAGTCAAGGGGGAAGTCTCTGTCTGGGGGGCGAGACTGTCCGTAACCTCGGGGGTCCCAGCCGACTACAGTGAAGCGTTCCTTATTCAGAGACTTCAGCTGAGGTCCAAAATCAGTCCGAGTGCTTCCTGTGGTAGAAGAGACCAAAATGCCAGTACACTGCAGCAGAAGCCCAGGGGTATGTTACATGTACAGCACATGAGACGGGTTGTATTTACCCAGAGCACCAGGAAACAGCAGCACAGCGTGGTTCCCTCTGCCGGTCTGCTCGTAGTACAGGTCCACACCATTGACACGCTGCCTGCCGGAGGCCATCGAAGAGCTGCGGGGGAAACAGTGGACTGTGGCAGGAATGGGAAATGATAGAGCTGATATGACAGTCACAGTAGCATTACAATACTGCATCGCTCTTGTATTTCATTGGCTTTGACAAGGCTGTAACAGGGGATGAACCTTTCATTTATATTCTACAGTAATGTGGAGGCCAACAGGAGTCTCAGGAGTTTCATAACACAAAAACTATCACAATCAACAGTGATTTAGCCTCTGTAACACTCGTATTATGGTCTAATATTGCACTTTTTAATACATTTTAAATGAATGAAATAGACCGACGGTGCAGTGTTTGACATTGATTGTAATAAATAAACTTAACTGAGTGGCATTTTCTGCTGACATGTGACTTTTCTTTGTATTTTGTTCTTTGATCTGTATTTTTTTTAGTCAACCAAATTAGATTTCTCCCCCAGGCAGCTTTGCTGTAGTTCAACTTCTTCCCGTGTGAAGTAATTGGTAGTTTGCAGAGTAGCTGATAATAGTGATACTAATAGCAGCCACAGTGCTTGTCAGTAATAATGATAATGATAATGATAATAAATAGCACTGTAAAATTTACAGTGATACAGCTGGACCTCCACTGTGTTGCAAGGTTATTATAGTTAACTAAAACTAAAACTAGGTGAGAAAAAACATTTGTACTTGTATCTCATCACGTTGCAGTGAGGAAACACTGGAGGCAGAATTAGAAAAAGATAGAAGACTGAGAGAAAGAAAAGGAAATACCAAATAAAACAAAGTCATAAAACAGATTAAGATGTATGAATAAATAAATACACAAAATAAACAGAGTAGCTAATAAATAGAAAATGATTAAAATGTATAAAGAGAAAAAGGGGATAAAACAAATAATAATATTAATAATAATAAAAGTTAACTAAAATAAAAATAAAAAAGCTAATTGAAACGATATAGTGTACTTACAAGTAAAATAAAATAAAAAAATATACAGGAAATGTCTTTTTTCTTTAGACTGGGATGTCTACATGACTGAGAGTCATGTAATCCATATTCTGACCTTCTTACATCTTATCCCAGACAATTAAAAACATATTTAACAATAACACTAATAAGTACTAAACTAAAATAAAGCATTTTAAAACACTAAAAACTAACAGAAACGAGCAAACCCACTCTGGAAACTCACTAACCTGAATCTAACGAATAATGAGAAACCCTGAATTACAGTAACTCTGCGGTGGAGCACTGTCCGGACACACTGCGCCATCTAGTGGATGTCAATCAAACAAGCTTCCAGAGACAACGTGTTACTAAAAGCAGAGCAGGCCCTTTCCTGTTTCCAAACTGCGGCCAAAGTCCACATTTCAGCCCAATGTGCATAAAAAAAACATGCAAATGTCGCAGTTAGTGAGCGCAGCGCAAACAGTTACCAGAACGGCTGAGACGCGGTGAGTGCGCTCCGGATGTCGGCTCCACGTTTAAACAAACGTCCTCCGAGTGAAAGCAACGCCATTCCTGCAGCCTCCACAGCCCACGGAGCAGCTCTGTCCTGCGGGTCTTCAGGTGGTCAGAGACCCAACAGTCCTCTGCAGTCCCGCACTGCGCGTCTCCAGGAAGCTGCGCTCACTTTGGCACTTTCCACATCGCCTTTATTGGCAGAAATTATAAAGCGAAAGTACCAAAAAGAACCGAAAGGCAGCATTCACGTAAAGCTTATTATATTAAACACACATATTGTATGTTTTAAGTAAGACATTATATTACAGGTGTCTTCATTTCCGAGGAAATTTCCTTGAGAGACCTCATTTGGAACAGCGGAAATAGAGACAATGTCATAAATATTTTGAGGCAGTTGTTTGTTTCAGGAGGAGTTTCCCTAAAGGTAAAAAGTTCCATATAAACACAACTCAGTGTTCATTCGTTATTCAGTTTGTAATGGAAACTATATATATTTTCAGTTGTTTGTTTTCCTGCAGTGAGATTATTTCTGAATAGAAGATTGTGGTTTCACTAGAAAACGACTGAAAATGATTTATTGGAAATAAACACTTTCTCCATTCTACATATTATTGTGAATATAGCACGTGTCCTTTTACAGGAAACTTCATTTATATGAAATTATAGGACCTGTAAAATAAGAGTTTTACTTTAAATAGGCTATGCATTAATACATATAATGTTAATAGACAAACAATGAATAGTATGTTCTCCTAAATCAGTGGTTTTTTTCTGTGATGCCCCCCTGCAGAAGCCCCACTACCCCATATCAATCATTAATAAGTAATAAATAAGTTTTAGTGACATAAAGGTTGACAGCATCAACAAACTTTTTTTAAAATCTTCGCAACATAAATCACATTCAGCTTGTTGTTTCCCTTTGGTCATCCATGCCCCTCCAGCCCTGCAGTGGCTCTGTGCCCCACCAGGGGGGCTCGACCCTCAGTGTGAGAACCACTGTTCTACATAGTGATATTATGGAGTCAGTCCAACTCCCTTCAGACCATTGACTTATTCAGGCAGGCTTTTAGTTAATGTACTGTAGTTTTTATTTTGAGTTTCATTTTTATTTAATTTTTAAAGAAACTATTTTATTATCTATCTTTAAGATGTATATATTCTACCTATTGTGTTTTAATGTCACACTGTAAAGCACTTTGAGCTGCATTTCATGTTTCAAAAGGGTTCTATATAAATAAAGTTATTATTAATAATCATTATTATTATTATTATAAACAACCTGATAAATCTCCAATCAAATTATTTGGGATTTTGATCAAAAAAAAAAAAAATTATATTCAACAGGTATAGTTACACCATGTTAGTGTAGCGTGTTATCATGATAACATTTGTTGATTAGCTGATGGGAAAGTTACTAGTTTTGAGATTCTGTTATATAAAAAAAAGAATCCTGATGAGGATGTGAACCACATTTTACGATTCTCAAATAGTTGCTGAGATGTTTCACTAAAAACCACAAATGTCAACCTCATGGTGGCGAAAAGAAGAAAGAAAAGAAAAAGTCAGAGGATTAAGAAAGTTGGGAGGATTCATCTTCTGAGGATCATCAATGTCTGTAACAATTTGTGCTTCTCACTCTTGTACATGCTGATTTATTTCACTGGATAAGTGTGGCTACCAAACTTTATGTCAATCTAACAAATAACTGTTGAGACATTTCACATTTGGGACTCATCCTCTGGAAATAAATTTCATAGCAATCAATAAATCAAGAAAACAATAGTCAGATTAATCAACAATGAAAGCGACTGGTAGCTGCAGCCTCCCAGTAACTGTCTGTAAGGGTTCTGCAGCACCTATTGGTTATCTGCTGAGTGTAAACTGTCATCAGACTTGAAAGTAACTCCTGAGTAATGTCTCCTCTTTCTCTTTTTAACACCAATTTAATCATCAACATCTCACATCCTTTATTGTCTATGCAACACAGCCCCCACCCCCACCTCCCACACACACACACATCCTCACACCTACAAAACCAGTGATGCGCCAACAAAGGTGTTTTTTTTTTTTTTTTTATACCTATGTATTCAGAAAGAGCTGTTTATCAATGGGTTCGACCCGCCTCTTGCGATGAGCTGTTAGCAGACCTAGTTCCCTGAGGTAGGCAGGCAGGCAGCTTTTTGTAAACGCCTCCACTCTCCTCTGCTTGTCAGAGCGTCTGAGCCATGCCACACATTGAACCACACACAGGAACACAAGAACAAGTCGACAAAGCTGGTGGCTAAAAATACCTCGATGGCCCCAGAGCGAGGTGCTGAAGATGAAGCGGGATTTACTGGAAACGCAGTGACTGAAGTCGATTCAAGTGAATGTCCACTGAGAGTCGACGCATAATTTAAAATAAATGGGGGGGGGATTTTTTGTTCTGTGAGCAGTTCTTATAAAATTAGGAAGTAATTTGCGGTTTTCCACTGTTTTATATAACATTGAACTGATTATAATATTTGATCATATTCTCGATATGTAGGCTGGTTGTTCCACAGCTTCCGTCCAGAATGAAATAAATCGGCAACAGTTGGATAGATCGCTGTGAAATTTGATACAGACATTCATGGTGCCCAGAGGATGAATCCTACTGACTTTGATGATCCCCTGACTTTTCCTTTTTTTTCCCCCGGCAGGATGACATTTTTGTTTTAGAGAGAAACACTGTGACAACTATCAGGTTGATTGCCATGATTGCTCGTTTCTGTTAGTTTTTATTGTTTCAAAATGTTTTATTTTAGTTTTTCTTATTTTAAATATAGTATTGGGTTATGTTTTTTGTCTGGGATAAGATTTAGATGTGAGATATTCAGAGTGACCAGGGGATGAATCCTAATGACAGCCCACCAGCTGGACAGTTTAAGTTTTCACTTAAATTCATTTACAAACTTTAATAAATCAACATATTACAGACACCTCAAAGCGAATGTATTTAAGAGTTTACTGGAAAAACAGTGACTGAATTCTAGTCCATGCACAAGTTAATTCTCCTGTTTCTCTGTAAAAGAAATCAATCTCACATTGTTTGATCTATCAGCTTCATCAGGCTTCTGTGGGTGTAGGTTGATCAGATTCTTTATGGGTTTTTATGCCTTGATAGGACAGTTCTTGAGCAAATCTGATCAACCTATGCCCACACAAGCCTGAGGAAGCAGATAGTGATAATATCAAACAAGAGATTGAGAGACGGGCGTCAACATGCAGCAGAGGACCAAATCGTACCCCGGCTCCTGCTCCAGGTGAGCTACCCTGCGCCCCCCGTTTAATCTGATTTGATCGACTAATGGCCTGGCGCCATAAGCAAACATCCCCACAACTCGTCATCTCATTTTGATGTCTGAAAATTGAATTTCAAATATTGCTGACTCTTGATTGGTGCACAGAAGTGTGGGACCCTTTTTCCAACCTCTTCCCGCCCACAAACCAGCATGAAGAGCACAGACAAAAATGAAAAATACAGACATTTCTTCCGTGTGAAATAATGGAAGCTGTCAGTCGCTCATACTAAAATATTGTTGTAAGATTTTAATCAGACAACCTTTATATTGTACCCCAATGCTTTGAGACTACATTGAGATGTATTGCAAGTGTATTTTGAGCCCCATTCAGAGGTGCTCCTTGTACGGTATAACACCTCAGCAGATAGTGATAGCCAGGCGTGCCGCACTGTTGGATCTGTTCTCCTCTGCCCTCTGGCCCTCAACCATCTTTGTCTGGTTGGTATGTGCCTATCCACAGTCCCATGACCCACTCCTAGTCTAAATATAAATATCCAAGCAGGGTGTTCCACTGTTAAGGTCACATTACATCATCCCAAGCAGCATATCCTCAGACACGCAGCAGTCGGGACGTGAGCTGCGGACACGTCAAAGGCTTTATGATATCCTGGGGCACACAAAAAGAGTCGTCAGGGGTGGTTTGAGAACGATGGGACGCAGCGACAGCTCGTGACTGATTGTACTCCTGTGGAGAGGGCTTGGCCAGAGCGAAACACCTCTGGAGCACTAGATGACACACAGCTCGAGCAGCTTTAAAAAACTGGTGAAAAAAATTGAAATTGTGTCCTGAAGCTGAGGTGCTTTTCTTGAGAATTCTTGGCGGACATGGGTAATGGAATAAACAAGGTACAGTATCAAATCTCTATACTTAAAGGACTGTGCGAACATGTACATTTACTTCTTTTGACTACATTTCTAACTTTATTTCAGGTCCTGCCTGATCTTTATCTAGGAAATATCAAAGGTAAGACGTGCTGCCTCTTTTCATTGCGTGAAGAATGGATTTATTTTCAGGATAATTTATGTTGAGGGTGTTTCAGTTCCTCATGTGGTGAGATGCTACACTGAGCTCAGTTTCTATAGAGTGGAGAGGTCGCAGTGTGCAGCAGAATGATTTAAGTCGTGTATTTTGAAGAAAAAAAAAAAAACACTATTACACTAAGTTTTTTGGCCTCTGTGTGTGTGGATGTGCGGGGGTTGGTTGGTAACTCTCAGCAGCTGGAGGAAGGCCGCGTGAGTGCTGGTGTGGGAGGGGATGCCCCGCTGTGTGGGGGTGTCCCCACTGTGAACTCAATTGCACATCTTTCCATAAAGCAGAAAAAGCAATCATTAGATTGCTTTTTTTTTTTTTAATGACATGGTGACCACACAGAAAAATGTCGCACAATATCGGTCACTTTTTGTAATCATGACATGTTCAGGGAATCACTGTCAAGCAGGAAATCTGACGCCTTTCATTTTAATCACCTTTGATCTGCTTTTATCCGTTTTGCTTGGCAAATATTACAAGACGAGTTTAACCTCCTCTCAAACCTTTTGTCTTCCTACAACAGGAAGTGCAAGTATGAGGAAGAGTCAAACTCTGAGACTGCTGTATAAGGCAGAACAGTCACTTCAGGAGCAGAGAAGTTGGTTAAAGAAGAGTCTTCTTTCAGGCTGGCTGGCAGAGCAATGCCTTAATTTGATACTTTTTGCGCCATAAATTTAAGTATATCTTCTATCTTTTAAAACTCACTTTCATAGAAGCTACTGAATGCCAAGAAAGACCCAGAGAGTCTTCAGGGAATGACGTGGAAAATGTATCTACAGACAAAATGTGTTATCTCAACTTTATTTTACATTTGAACTAGCTTGTAAACTAATAAAATACAGTATATTACACAAATTTAAATGTGTGATTTAACGTTAGCCTTTCAACACAACATTGCGTTAAAGGCTGAGATAGCTCTGCTGAGTTACATTAGCTTTAACAGGAGCGTAGCGTTAGGTTGTTGTAGCTCTCTTGCTTTATCTGATTGTTGGCTGTGTGATTTTATCTTCTTCTTGTAGTTGCTCTTAGATTCACAGAAATGATCTACGGCAAAATCAATTTATTGGGTAAAACAGACCAAATATGTAGTGAGTGTGTTTTGACTTTGACTTTGACTTTGTAGGACAGTGCAGGGGTGGATCTAAAGGGGTGGCATGGGAGTGCTGCCACCCTTCAAAAACATCCCATGCCACCCTAGTTTGGTGTCAAATTTAACACATTAATTTAGATTCATTTTAAAAATAATTTACAAAATGAATCATTTAATGATCTGACATATTTTAGGCTTAAGATCAATGAAAAAAGAGATGTATTCGGGAAAATATCTGAAGATTTGGAATTAAAACAATTAAAGTTAAATAGTTAAAACATCTTAATTTCAAATGTTGATGTGATTGTTTGCAATTAAATCAGCATATATTTCTCCTACACCTTAAAGTCTCCATACCACCCTCTTGCCACCCCATGAATATTTCTCTAGATCCGTCCCTGGGGCAGTGTCACTGGTCTGTGTTGAGCAGAAAGACTCTCTGTTACCAGCTTTAAGAACCTTGACACCCAATTAAAAATATTTATTCGATGTGAATGACAGACACACTTGGGTATTTGTTTCATTGAATGACCTTCAGAGCACTGGCTTAGCCACAGTGCAAGTTACATAATCAGATTGTGTTTCCTCTGCAAGCATCTTAAGGATTTATATCAAGTACTCATATATATATATATATATATATATATCTTTATTTTCCAATTTATATTGTAAGCAGTCTTTCTGTAGTTTATACAAACTCTAAAATTGGTGTTATTTTAACTGATTTGGCTGGCAGGAGGGCACAGATTCATGTTTGTCTTTTGGGGCATCAGCATCCTGCAAACTTGCAAAGCATGAGAAAAAAGTGCTGAAGACACATCTGTCCAAGGTAGAAAACATTTGGCTTCCTTTTAAAGAACAAAATTTGATTAGAACAATTACTGTTTCTTGCTTTTGGCCCAAGCTGCTGGACTGTTTTAGAAACACTGGTTTTCCGGTTTTTCTTTCAGTTCAAAACAAGAGCAACACTTTTAAGCCATAAGGCCACATTTGCTTGGAAGATAAGAAGAGGGGGGTTGTTGTTGGGTAGAAAATGCTTTATTTAGGTCGGACTCTTCATGGGGTGGTTTGTGATTGGAGGGGAAGAATATTTGAGATTTTCGTACTTTCTTTTGCGGTCCACAGATGCGAGAGACGGAGAACTGTTGGCAAAGCACAACATCACCCACATCTTGTCCATCCATGACACAGCTGCACCCATCCTGGAGGTGAGCTGTCTTCTGTGTGTCTTACATTGGCCTGTGAGACCTTACTACCTCAACATTGATCTGCCCATAAAGTACACAACTTCCCCTGAACTCACCACTGTTGTCCCCCACCTGTGTCCTTTCTGCTTACTCATTCTGAAAGCAATTAATGTTGAAGTGTCTTTTTCTGGCTTAATATTTACCTTAGGGCTCCAACTAACAAATACTTTCATTATTTTTCATTATTTGATTAATTAATTGAGTTCTTTAGTCTGACAAATATCAAATAATAGTAAAAAGTGTCCACAATAGCCCAAAAAAGCCAAGGTTACTTCAGACATTTAAGCCAAAACCAGCAAATTCTTTGGAATTTTCTCCTTGAAAACTGACTGATTTTGATAATTTATCAAAATTGTTTAATTTCTATTGATTGACTAATTGACTAATCGTTTCAGCTCAGTAGCTTTACTGCCTTTACCCTTGTTATCCTCCAAGGTATCACCTTAAACAATTTCATTACTACATGACATCATTGTACCTCTTTTGGTAAATGGTAAATAAGAAGAAAAGGTGTAAAGTAATATTCTTTACTTAAAAGTCATAAAGATTTTTACCAAAGGCTTTCGAAATAGACCACTTCAATTGGTGTGAAAGTCAGATGTTCTTATTTTCAATTTTGCACGGAAAGTCCTTATGTCTTGCACCAGTCGAGACCTGGAATTCACCAGGGTTTACCAAGTAAGCAGTCTTCGGAGTGACTGTGAGGCTTCGATATTGTGTGAGATCCCAGTGAATGTGAATTTGTCTGTTGTTTTAAGTCCGCGATGCAGCTGTGATGCAGATGGATTACACTGGAAGATGCTTTTAGCTCCACAGCTTGAAGCCCATAAAGTCTTGAAAGTGGAACTACATTTAAAAAAGAAAAAAAAGGTTTCTGGCTTTTCATGGCTGCATTTAGACATGTCAATTTGTGTATGAAAGAGCGGGAGAGGTGTTTTTCTTGTGTGTACGTGAGCAAGTGAGTGTGGGAAGGAGAGAAAGAGGTGATTCTACTGTGAGAACCTGGACGGTTGAAAGTAGAAATTTGCTCCTGTTGATTTACATTTGGTGACAGATGTACAGTAAGAATATACCTGCTGCACAACTGCAAAATCTCTTATTAGAGACCTTATCGTATCAGAATAATAATGAATAATCCTTTTGAATTTGAATTTGAATTTGGATTGAATTTAATTTAATTTGAGAGAAATATTGCGTCTCAGAGTCCGTTCGACTTGTTGATCTTTTCAGTGTCCGCTTTCACAACTTTCATCTTTTCTTGTTGAAAGCGAGCATGAAAAGTGCTCAGAGATTTCTGTACACTTTCTCCGTCCATGTATGTTTCATAGAACACTGAAGAGAAACAGCAACTTGTATAATACAGTATCACTACCCAAACTGGTCAACCACCAAAACTTTTTTAAAGGTTTTGGGCTTGAAATTGTGTCTTGACTCCCTGAACTGTGCGGCCCTTCATTCAGCACCTCATTAATGACTTGATTGATTGATTGTGAGATTGTTCTCACATTTATAAATGGATGACACAGCTTTTTGAGTTCTGTGGCATAATGATGACTCAGGTCTGTTTTACCAGTAGGCCAAATGGCCAGATGGGATGGTTTATTTGCATACCTAACAGTCAAACTGATTGATTTCTTGGAACACAGGACGATGGGACCTGAGAGAGGTAGAATTTGCAACCACCAAGTCTCATCGGATGTGCCATTTACTGTACACTGTGTGGCTCTTATTAACATACTGCAAAAAAAAAATGACAAGGTCACTTTTAAGAAAGTAAATCTGAGCCTCAAAAGTAAAGACAATTAATATCTGCACTCAACATACTGTGAAAGAAAATGTCGAGGTCAGTTTTTAAGTAAGTAAATCAGAGCCTCAAAACTGCCTTCTTGCAAGTAAAGAAAATTAAGATCTGCACTGATCAACGATTTGCATGCAGAATGTTTGGGAGTGTGTTCATGCTTTCTGTCTGTTTGGTTTTACAAATCACTGAGTCATGGTCATGATGAGTTTTAGGAGCGATGGTGCAAAGATACAAGAGGACTTCTCAGTATTTGTTTGCATGAGATGTCTTTAAAATAGTATTTTTTCCGCTGACATGCTCCTTTGATGAATGTACAGTATGTTAGTGATTAAATGTGTCTGTGTGTGTGTTTGTGTGTGTGTGTGTGTGTGCACACATTGTTTGTGGTTGCTGTGTGTGAAGCAACCTGTCTGGAGCGCTTCCAGAGCTCGACGCGTCCCAGAGGGCTCAGGGGTTTTTGCAGCAGTGCAGTCATAACGGGACACGGTAGTTTCTGTCCACTGCGTGTACCATCAGCTGCCAGGTGCACAGTACAAAAAACACACACAGGCGAACATCGTTATGTCATGACCCCCGGTCAGAGGGGCAAGGTTCCAGGGGCCGCCCCATCCACCGAGAAACAGGAAGTGTGTTAGAGCCAGTGTTCAAACAGATGACCTGACAGGATGAAAACTCTTGTTGCACTTACTGACTGTTCATTAATTCAACAGATTTATCTGCAGAAGAGTGTTGTTTGAGTCTAATCTACCCCCCCCCCCCCCCCCCCCTCTAGGGCATGACGTACCTGTGTATATCTGCTGCTGACCACTCTAAGCAGAACCTGTGAGTACCTATAATGCATACAGTATGTATATACGAGGTCCACTGTGTTTGTTCTTCAATATTAGATCTGATATTTCTACCATCTCATATCTGTGGCAAGTGTCAAGTCTGTGTTACCTAGCTGTTTAAGTCCATTTTAATTCAGTGTGGTTAATGTGATCATGTTACCAGGACTCAGTACTTCAGAGACAGCATCATGTTTATCCACGAGTCCCGACTGAAAGGAGAGGGCTGCCTCGTCCACTGGTGAGTGAAAATAAAATGATTACTGCTTCATTTGTTCTTTATTGAATGTATTGCATCTTACATTTGATTAATCAAACAGGACTTACTTGAGTTAAAGGGATTTATGTTCTTATTTTTTAAAACAATGTATATCTCTTATGTCTTGTTGTTTTGACTGCACTTAATCATTTACTGCACAGTACTTCAAATTTAAAAATCGATATTAAGTCTGGTCATAATATCCTGTGCATCGGAGTGGTGCTATGAAACTGGTGTCATTTGCATGTGGAAAGGAAGCAGCATAAAAATTCAAGTTTTGTTGACATTTGTTTATAATGATGAATATTTTGCTCAACTGACTGGAAATCCTCATATTTCATTAAGCCAGTTTTCATTTTCAACCACATCACTGTCACCAAACAGGACAACATTTTGTTTAATGCTTTCATTGCAGATTTCATCACCTTTCATCTTTTCAAATATCAAACATGAAAAATCAAGCATTAAACCACAGCTTTAGGAAAAAAGGGGTTTCACTTCTTTGTACACTAAACAAGAGAATCTAAATTATGTGGTGATTACAGCTAGCATCATGCTGTGGGGCTCTGTGCTCTCAGTGTTGCAGGAGTGTCCCGCAGTGTGACTCTGGTGGTGGCTTACATCATGACAGTGACCGGTCGCGGCTGGGTGGAGTCCCTGGCGGCGGTGAGGGCAGCTCGGCCGTGTGCGGGGCCGAACCTGGGCTTCCTCAGGCAGCTGGAGGAGTTTGAAAACACAGAACTGACAGAAGTGAGTGACACTGATATCACGTTGTTATGCTCATCAAGATTGTATTATAACATTATACATTTCTTTAATTACTTTTGTATATATTCGTTTTCATTGCTACTGGCGGAGTCCGCCATTCGTACATGGGATTCAAACTGTGTGTCTATGCACAATTCAATTAAATTCAACTTTATTTGTATAACAAAAGTTATTTCGGGACACTTCTTAAATAGAGCAGGTCTAGAGCGTACTCCTTATAAAATTCTTTACAGAGATCCACCACTTCCCACCATGAGCAAGACCTTGGTGACAGCGGCAAGGAAAAACTGTCCGTCTGCCTCAGCCGGTTGGGGTTTGAGAGAGAGAGAAGGAGAGTGGGGGGTAAAGGGGGAAGGGGTGGTGGGGTAGAGAGAGAAAGAGATGCACAGCAATAACAACAACAACTATAATAGTAGAAATTAGATAATAATAATGATGATGAGAACAGCCACAACGATGAATAATAATGATAATAATGATAATAATGAAAATGAATGGTTGAGTAATGAATAATAATAATTATGACAATAATATTAGCAATAAAAAATCTTGGGGGGGGGGGGGTTCCTCTTTGTTCCTTTTTAAAAAAAAAAAAAACCCTGGAAAAAATTTTATTTTAATTTAATTTAATTTTATTTGTATACCGCCAATTCAAACGTTATCTCAGGACACTTTTCAAATAGAGTAGGTCTAGAACGAACTCTTTAAAGCATTATTTACAGAGACCCAACAGTACCACCATGAGCAAGACCTTGGAGACAAGGGCAAGGAAAAACTGCCTGTTAAAAGGCAGAAACCTAGGACAGATCCTTCGGCTCTAGGTGGGTGGACGTCTGCCTCGACCAGTTGGGGTGAGAGAGAGAGAGAGAGAGAGAGAGAGAGAGAGAGAGAGACAGACAGACAGACAGACAGACAGACAGACAGGTGCACAGCAACAACAGTATTGGCAATGGCAATCTAGCAGGACCATGGCAGGAGGCTCCACCAGGATCGATAAGAACCTGCGAGACGAGAAAGCACAAGAACTCCGGGGAAGAAGTGAAGTTAGTAACATGCATTAATGGAACATGAATGAGTGCAGAAAGAGAGAGGAAGAGAGGAGCTCAGTGCAACATGGGAAGTCCCATGGCAGTCTAGACCTAGAGCAGCATAACTAAGGGATGGTTCAGGACTCACCTGATCCAGCCCTAACTATAAGCTTTATCAAAGAGGAATGTCTTAAGCCTACTCTTAAATGTGGAGAGGGTGTCTGCCTCCCGAACCACAACTGGAGACAAGAAAGCACAAAGACTCCAGGGAAGAAGTGAAATTAGTAACATGCATTAATGGGACATGAATGTGTGCAGACAGAGAGGGAGAGGAAGAGAGGAGCTCAGTGCATCATGGGAAGTCCCATGGCAGTCTAGACCTAGAGCAGCATAACTAAGGGATGTTTCAGGACTCACCTGAGGAGGAACATCTTAAGCCTACTCTTAAATATGGAGAGGGTGTCTGCCTCCCGAACCACAACTGGAAGCTGGTTCCACAGGAGAGGAGCTTGGTAACTGAAGGCTCTGGCTCCTGTTCTACTTTTAGAGACTATAGGAACCACAAGTAGCCCAGCATTCAGAGAACGTAGTGTTCTAGAGGGGTAATAGGATACTATGAGCTCTTTAGGATATGAAGGTGCCTGACCATGACCAGTGAAAACATCTCTTGTGCCATTCGTTGCTCTTCTTTCAATGAACAAATACTCTCTAATAAATAACTGATGCTAGCAGCATCCATGGTAACTTCTACATGCCCACCCCCTTAGCTGCCAGTGCTTCCTCTAAGAACGCTGACTGGTCCGATACCACGTAGGTTGGCCACAAACGCATAGACAACACGTATCAGTATATTCTCAGTATCTTTCTGCAATAATCCAAAATCCCATTGGCTTCTCGTCCAAGGAACCAGGGGTGATGCTAACTTCCGGGTTTGCCTAGAAAAATACGTCCTTCCTGCAGCACACAGTTGGAAACAACCTCCATCTGTCCTTGATCCTGTCTCAGCTGTCATTTATTCATCTGACTCATTTTTACACTCACTCTGCTCTCCCCCCTCCAGTATCGGGCCTGGTGGAAGGACCGATACGGGAAGAAGAACTCGTTCAATGACGATGAGGAGGTGAAAACCCTTTTAACTCAGAAGTCTAACAACAGCAGCAAGACCATAACGACCAGCATCACTCCTGCACTGGGCACCAGTGGCACCTGAAAGAACGTCTTCCAGTCAGTCTCGTTTTTCCTTGAACTTGAACAAGCTTCTGCCCGGACCATTTAACCCACCGAGACCAGACCAGCTGTCTTTATCGTCCATCCTGCAGATAAAAAAGCCACAGCAGGGGTCTGCTTTCGTTTTATTGTTGCGATATGTTGAATCTCATGTTTGCAGAAGTAGTCATGTGATGGGAGGGGGTTTTTATGTCATCATCTCTGTCCCCCTCGTCATGTCATGTCCTTGCTTCTAACTGTCAAAACAACATGCAAGGGCAGTCAAGCACAACACCAACGAAATATGTACATACAGTCCACAGTGTGAACACACATTTAGCTGTGTGCACTCCCCGTCAGTTATGTTATGCTGTGTCCTCTACTTGAAATATGAGTATTACTTTCTGTAGACACTGTGGAAGCTGAAGAAACGCTGTATCTTCCAGTAACACAGGGCCAGAGGCAGTATTTATACATTTATAACTGTTTTATTCCTTAATTGAACGTATTATTGTTGAATTATATTATTTTTGTTTTAATGTCATCAGCTTGTGGAGTTAATGATTCACACCGACATTTATTTTACACATGTGAATTTGCATTTTATTTAATTAAATACCCATTAAAGTGAGATTTAATTTGTCAGGTGATTGTTTCTTTATCGATTGAGAACAGGGAAAAAGACTGGAAAGTAAAAAATACATAATGCTGCTACACTAAATGTGTAAATATATATAGAGTTTCTTTTCAATTACTGGATATTTAAGACAATTCAGATTTTTTATAAAACAAAAGAAATAAAACGTTGGTTCAATTTGTCACAACTGGTCAGTGGATGAAGTTTAGTTCCTTCACTTACATAAAAGTAACAATACAAGAAGTATCTCTTAACTTGAAACTGAAGATGTTTATTCATATTAACCTTTTTGTGATTGTTATTGTTGTTAGTGCATTAAAGCTGCTACAGAAATAAAGTTATTAATAAAAGTACAACTACCTTAAAACTGTTCTTAAGCACAAAACCTGAATAAGTTTACCCTACTATTCCATGTAGTTTTAGTTTTTAATAACGTGTACTTCAAGGTAGATCCCACCACAGCAGCTGGTGACTGATATCTGAAGTAATCTATTTTAAGGGGTCACAATCCACAGAGGAGTGGCAGAATCATAGTAACTAAGTACATTTACTCAAGTACTCTCCTTACAGTAAGTACAATTGTGAGGTATCTGTACTTTACTCAAGTATTTCTATTTTATGCCACTTTTTATTTTTACTACTATTTATCTGGCAGAAATACTTTACAGGTGGAGATTTTAAGAAGAAAAAACATGTTTCAGTTTATGAAATATGACATAATGATGTTGTTAAACTACAACAGAAGATGAGCTTCACCTCCGCCAACAATTAAAGTACAGCTTTACTGCACCAATCCAATAATAGAATAACATTACACTGAGAGAAATATTGTGCTTTGTATTCCACTGCAACTAAATGTACTAATTACTTTACAGATTAAGATTTTACATTCAAATTCTTTATGATAATATGATGCTACAGATTAAAACAATCCAAGTTATAGGTTAATGCACTTTATTCCAACACTGCAGATACAATACTTTGAGTACTACAATCTGTACCTTTATTTAAGGTGTTGAATGCAGGACAGGATGAGGATCTTCCATCGCTGCCATAAAGGTCGTAAATGACTGATTTAGAGCGTTAAAGTGAGTTTTGTACTGAACTTTTAATAATCCCATAATTGTAAGGCTCCTCTGTAGACACTGTGCTCAGTCTCCGGCCTGTTTTACTGCGTTAGTCTCTCTGTAAGGGGCATTCTATACAAATATGACACACAGTTTATAATAATCTTATCTGGTAGGCTGTTCCTGTCTCTACAGCTGTTCAAATCTTCCACTGGGAACAAACTTGCGCTGATGTGTGTGTGTTTTTTGCGCAGCGCTGCCACTGCTGGACCACTCTATAGTTATTTTTCGTAAAGCTTTTATCATTTCAAAGAATTGTTTTTGTCTCCGTCCCAACATTTTCCACGCGTGCGGGTGTGTGACACTTGTGACTGACGCCGGCAGGGTTTCCCCCGGTGTGTGTCTTACTGGAGATCGGCCGCTGTGCGCGCTCTGATAAGCTTCACAGGAGAGAGAGAGGCAGAGAGTCAGGCGGGCGGGCGGGCGTGCGCATAGAAGCAGGTGCGTCCTCCTCAGCATCCCCTCTGTGTCTCCGCCCCTCCCGCGGTTCGCTATAGGCTGGAGGATTTAAGCGGGCCCGCCGTAAGGATGTGAGCTTTCGGAGACTGATTGATTTCAAAAGTTGACGGGTTTCGAGTTTCACAGGTAAGACCGGCTCGGTACTCTTCCAGGGCGCACATTAAGGGCCAAGTTATAGTCTGCGTGGGAGACCAAAGGGGGGGAGGCAAAACCTTTTATTGAGTTTTACTGATAGACTCACCCTTCTCTGCTACATTTACACTACTTTCAGAACACCTATCGGCACATTGCACTGCATTACAGTGGAGTTGTTGCATGCGTCTGTTTGGGCAGAGATGAACGCAGAGTTGGATTACGGAGGCTCCGGGAGCAGCGGGAACGGAAAGCTGCGCCAGTGGCTCATCGAGCAGGTGGACTGCGGTAAATACCCCGGTCTGGTGTGGGAGAACGACGAGAAGACCATCTTCAGGATACCGTGGAAACACGCCGGGAAACAGGACTACAACCGGGATGAGGATGCCGCGCTTTTCAAGGTAAAACACCCGCATCCTCCGGTGCCTCCGGTACCTCCTTTGCCGGTCCAGCCGGAGAGAAACGTGTGACTTTCAGAATAAAAGTGAGCAAGTAAACTGAGACACATCGTTTCAGACGCTTTTAAAGAGGATTCAAAGAGCTATAAAGGGAACAAATATGAGAAATATTACATTTGTTTTTCATCATTATGATGCGTTTCACAAAGTAGTCTATTTAATAAATGAATTAACACTTATTTATCAGTTCGAGTTTGGATGTCTTGTTTTGATCTATAATGTATTATGTAAGGAACTTTGTATTGACTTTTGTGCAATAGAAATAAGGCTGTAACGATTCTTTATTGATCAGTCTGCCGATTTAAAGTATTTCTGATTACTTTGATTAATATTTGGTTTAAATAGTTAAAAAAAAAAAAGTCCGACACAAGTTTCCAGAGCCAAAGAGGACTTCTTTCAAAATCTAATTTGTTTAATATGATATATATTGTAAGTTTAATATGATATAAGACGATCAAAAACAGGACATTTTCACATTTGAGGCTTTGGAATTTTTTTTTGTTTCCTTAATAGACTAATAGTTTAGTTCTATAACTCATATAATAAATAATAAATGATATAATAAACTTTCCCTATCTCGAGAGAACGCCTACTACCTCGAAAGTCTCACTTCTGCAGACTGTGCAATGCTGGAGTTTGGAGAGCTCATCCTCCCAGGCTGAGCTTTCTGTCAGGGTTTTATATTAATAACGTTTTTACCGGTGACCTGTGTGCAGGCCTGGGCGCTGTTCAAAGGCAAGTATCGGGAGGGGATCGACAAACCGGACCCGCCGACCTGGAAGACTCGCCTCCGCTGCGCCCTCAACAAGAGCAATGACTTTGAGGAACTTGTGGAGAGGAGCCAGTTGGACATCTCAGACCCGTACAAAGTCTACCGCATCATCCCCGAGGGCGCCAAGAAAAGTCAGTCCCACACCACACACCTCATGTATGAGCACAGCATGAGTTCAAAGACAATGCAGCACACATATTAGAGTCCTTGGAGTTAACCAAAGTAGGTGTTTGAGTTTAGCTGCTGGAAATTCTTTGAACACACATCAGGTTGATTGATAAAGGTCGATGACTCCTCATTCACCACCAGTGAAGGTCATGCTGTGAGATGTGGACTTTTTCTGTGTTTAGAGTTCGTTTATTCATATTTCTGTTCTTTGTCTTGCATTTTAGGACCCCGGCAGGAGGACAGTCCCCTGAGTCCAATGAGCTATCAGGTGCACCCCTCCTATCCTGCCCTGCAGACTCAGGTGATTTTCATGCACATGAAAATGAGTTGGGGGGGGGGTTAAGAGAGACAGAGAGTTTGCCGGAGAGGTTGAATGTGAAACAGAAATGAGCAGGCATACTGTACCATGCATGATTGACCTCTGACACAGCAGAAGCCAAGTGCACCCTTCAGGTTTATGAAAGTTAAGTCTGAGTGATGCTGCCTTCAGGTGCACAGGACCAGGAGGGTGTTTGTGTTGTTCAAGTTAATGTGATGTGACATTTTAGGTGTTGCAAATCGTATAAAAACCAGGTAAATAACAAGTGTTTTGTAATTTATTAGAGGGTATGTTATTTATTTTTAATCTTTTATTAGTCGCCAAAAATATTACTTTAATTTTACTGTTCAATTACATATATTTTTTTTTATTGTAGCTTCTTTTAGCTTCAAAGTTGTTGTTTGAGAGCCACAAACAGTCAGGAATATAATTCTGGTGGACAAATAATAGTTTTTATTTTATTTTATTACTTTTTATATTTTATTTGACCTAAAAATAATCACATTTTAACATAGTCAGTCTAAAAATATGTCATATTAACTACCAGCTTTATTTATTACTAACAAAAATAATAAATGTAATAGGTTGTAAAATGTATTAGCAGTTTATCCTGCAGCGGAGCTCCATTGACACTCCTAAAAAATAAAACGTTCATCACACAAAAAGTTGCATCACCATATCTGAATCTTCAGGTTTGGATTCTGTTGACTTTGCATGTTGAGCTGATTGATTGTGTCTCTGTCTGCAGATGTCTTCGTACATGCCCACACCAGAATGTGGCTGGAGAGATTTCTGCCCGGAGCCGACTGCCCTGTCTGAGCTGCCCTTCAGTCAGTGTCCCTGTCCCCCCCGCAGCCTGCAGTGGCAGGGCCCGTCCATGGAGAATGGTATGGCACTAAATATTCATATACAAGCACATAGCATCTTTGGTAGTTTGCACACATAAATGATTTTTATGGGTTTTTTTTGTGTTGAGCTCCTGTTTGCTCCCATGTGTGCAGGATACCAGCTCAGAGCCTCAATTTACTCGTACGGTCCTGCTGACAGCCAGTCCACGCCGTTCCCACTGGACGCCAGCATCAGATCAGCGGAAGCGCTCTCAGGTAAACAAACGCTTTCATTTCACTTTTTTTTTCTGTACACAGTGGAATCAGAAAGGGAAGGGGGGGAGGAGGTGGGGAGGGAGGTACTGTTGGTCCTGGTGACATCGCTCATGACTCAACTGAGCTTTGAATGTGATTTTAACCAAGAAACTTTTAAATAAAGCCATAAATTAAAACCAGACTGTGAATACATCTTTACATAATGTATAAACATTAACATGTCTTAAACCTGCATTCTTTCTAATGGCCAGCAGGGGGCAGCTCAATGGGCTGCAAAAAAGTCAGATAGAACTGAGTCTTATGGGAAAATGGCCCTACATCTCACTTGATTTATGAGCTCAGTAAACAGTTTCCTGATGAGTTTATGGTCTCAATCTCTAGTTTCAGTCTTCTCCCATACAGCATGATGTTCATTTAGTGAATTATGCTCCCATTTAGAGTAAAATAGATGACAAAGCAGAAATGCTT